CCTGAGACTGAGCCCTTTGACCTGAAGCCTGAGACAGTGCCTGAGTGCCCAGCCTTTGATCAGATGCCCAGGCTGCTGCCCTATTACCCAGAGCCTGGGCCTTGACCCACCCCAGAAGAGCCAACAGCTGGTGGGGGCATCTAGAATCTCCTGGGACCCTGGGGCCAGTGGGCACAGGGTGTAACTCTAGGCTATGATCAGCTTATTGCTTGGTGGGAGTCAGTGCCTGGACCGCCACTCCTGTTCAAGTCACTGCCTGCTGCTGGCTGATGACGGGTATTGGAAAAACATTTGTGTTATGCAGAGTTCAGGCAAATGTGGTGTGCGCTTGGGGGTGGGAGGTGAATGGGAGTGTTCTCTCCTCCTTGGGTGGTGGTGTTTTTTTTTTTTTTTTTTCTTCCCAGTGCTGGGAATGGAACTCATGCATGCCAGGCAAATGCTCTCCCACAGAACTCTATCCCCAGTGGTTGACTTCTGTTTTCATAGAACAGTTCCCAGCACCAAACTTGAGCTGCACCCAAAAGCTGCCTTGCATGAAGCTGCATGAACCGGGGGCGTGGCTTCTGATGCTCTCTTTCCCCCTCTCCTACCACCCCCTCCACAGGGATAGGCCACTTCTGCTCAAAGCCTCTCTGGAGGGGCGCCCTCATGAGACCCAGGCCTGGAGGTTTTTCTGTGCCCTCTCCACCCCATCTCTGTGGATGAGGAAAACATGTACATTTCTTTTTTTCTCTTGTAAATTTTTTCTTATAAAATGTTTTGCAAAGAGATCCCTTATGTTTGCCAGATCCTGCCTAGGGCAGGGCACCCAAAAGCTGCCAGCTCAGAGAGGCCCAAAGGGGAGACATCTTGGCTGGCTACAGTGCGCAAGGCTTCCTGACTCCTTTTTTAATTTTTACTTTTTATATTTTTCTGTTTCCATGATCATCCCCTCAAGGAACCCTTTTAGATATTTTTCCTCCCTCTTGAAAATTTAATACTATAGATATGCTTCATGGAAGGTCTTCGGAGCACAACAGTCCATTTTAATATCCAAGTCCCTGCCACCTCCAAGAATCTACCCTCTTGGGGACAGTGTCACCCCCATCAAGAAAACATACTATAGGGGGCTCAGCGGTTAAGAACACTGGTTGTTCTTGCAGAAGACCTGGGTTCGAATCCCAGCACCCACATGGCAGCTAACAACTGTCTGTAACTCCAGTTCCAGGGGATCTGACAGCCTCTT